CTTATTTATACATAAGACATGAACATACTTAAGATTAATAGAAAGTACGTTATAAGAATAAATGAGAATTATCAGAAAAGATATATGATACATAAATTCTAATATGGATTATATGGTGTTATCTATGTCTTGGTACTTGATATTTTCTTGCAGGAAGTGGACTCTTGGGTGGAGACTGCTCCATAAACCCCAAGTTTATTGAGATTCATTCTCACCCCGCGTTATGGGGACATATTTCAGGTATCGCAGCAGTTGACGATCGTTCTCGGGGCAAGAGGCCCGTGGTTGATGAGTAGATCTGAGCATAGATGTTGCCTGCTTATTTTGGGAGTCTGTTGTATATATTTGTGACACTGTGATGTATTATGTTTATGTAGGTTGATGTAGGATGTTGTAGTTATGGCACAGAGCCACCTTTTTGATATGATATATATAGAGTTATGGATCATGTATGTATACTACTGTATATGATATGAAATTGTTGTATATTGTGGGTTGTAAGAGCCCCAAGGCATTGCTGGTCCTTGTGTGTGCCACCCATTGGATTATTAGGTATATTTGTGGTATTAGCAAGCTTATGTAAATTTGGGGATTTAAGGAAAAACAAAGGAAACTCTGGCGAATTTTCTGTAGAATTGGCAGATTTTAGGTGAACTTCGGGAGAGCATATCTCCCTCCATAGAGGTCCGATAGGGACGTGCCATACGCCGTTTTGAAGCTTGAGATGTCCCCTACATTGTGTAAAAATATTAGAATTTTATAGGTTGTGCGCAGCCCTGTGGAAGTCAGTGAACACAACTGCCCTGTTTTGCCCTGCACTTGGGGGCTGTTTTGGTCCAGTTTTGGGAATTTTATTCCTGCTTCATTTCTTGGTCAAATTAAGCGTATGATATATCAAATCGAAGATTGAGGTGTCTAGTTTGTAGAATAAAAATTTGAGAGCAATTGGATGAGTGAATTTTCTGCAGTAATTCGAGGAGTGAGAGAGGTTTTGAGCTGTTTTGGGGTTGGTTGGCTGTTTTGCTTATCCAACTTCAAACGGCGATATCCGGAGCAAACGTGCTCCGATCATAGCGTGTGATAGCTTTTTAGAAAGGGAATTAAGTAAGAAAAAAATATAACCTGAGTGGAAGATCTGAATTTTTGTGTTGCATTCGCAGTAATTTAATTAGTGAACCATGTTCGGGTAAGTAAAAACGTAAAAGTTAGTAATTGGCTAAGTGGGTTTATGGGAACCCCTTAGTAACTTATGATAAGTAAAATAAGACATAGAAGTAGTTTAAATAAGTATTCCGCAAGAGTTTACAGTTACGGTCACAACTTTTAATTATTACGCTTGTTATTGTTTTAAATCCTCGCGTAATAACGGGAAAAGTTTATTCGCATTTTTATAAATGAATTGCTGTGATTGTAACTGCGTTTAATATCATAATCAATGTTAACAATACCGGTGTACAACGGGCTGTTACATTGCCCATATGATTTCTGCTTATTGGATTTCTTAATGATTTTTGTTTCAAATAGTATGCACTTTTGGGTTCAATTATAAGACTATCTTTATATATTGGCGCCTGAACATATAATGACCCTTTTTGATGCACTTTGAGTCACTATAAGTTATTATAATTGCAGATCATTCAATTTTAAGGCCTTTTATGAATTTTAATAATTGCAGACGTTTCAGTTTGCATTACTTTATATTTGGTTTATGGTTATTTTCGTTTTGTATCAATTTTTAAGACCATTGATGGTCCTTTATTGTTGGTTACTTTCTTTATTGCCTGATTAAAAGGCTTGTTAGAAGGTGTGGATGGGGGCTTTTTTTTATTGTTGAAGAATAATAATATAGTAGAAAACTTTTGCATTTACTTGAAAGTCTAGTTTCCCTATAATTCTGCATCATTTCGTATCAGAGCTCAGGTTGTCTTATAGATGGCTGAGCAGGAAAATCGCAGAGTTTGTGGTCGTGGACGAAGAGGTCATGGCGGCAGAGGATGCGATCAACCTACCGATGACGATTATTATACTGATGTGGGAGATGCTGAAATTAAGGAAAAGGACAAACAGATCCAAGAACTCAAACAATTTCTTGTAGAGGCACAGTTACATGGGTCAGAAGGGAGACGAGAATCTGAACTATCATCTCTAGAGGAAAAGGAGGACGAAAATCCATTTTGGAACCGCGAATGACCAAGGAGAGGTCAAACTGGTGATCAACCCTTCACATCCAATTTTGGGATGAAGATCGAGATTCAAGAATTTGAGGGATCAACTCACCCTGATGTATTCATTAACTGATTACACACCGTCGATAGGATTTTTGATTTAAAAGACCTCACAGATGAGCAAAAAGTAAAATTAGTGGCAATCAAATTGAGAAAGCATGCTTTAATCAAGTGGGAACATGTCAAGAAACAAAGAATTATAGACGGAAAGTCTAAGATTCAAAGATGGGACAAGATGAAGAAATTATTGCAACAAAAAATTTTGCCCGCTCAATACAGACAAGAGGCATTTATTGAATATCATAATTTCAGGCAACGTGACCTTACGGTGGAACAGTACACCATTGAATTTGATCGTCTTCGAATACGTTATGACATGGTCGAAGAAGATGAATAGGTGATTGCTCGATATTTAGGTGGATTGCGGGATGAAATTTCTGATGTTGTGTACCTACAACAATATTGGTCTTATGAAGATATGTTCAAATTGTCCTTGAAGTGGAAGGACAATGTAAAAGAAAGGGTGGCAGTTTGAAGTTTCAATCAAGATTTCTTAGAAAGAAATTCTTAGCTAAATCAGTGAGTTCATCAACAATTTCACCTGCTGGAAAGAGTTCTATGCCTCAAAAAAATATTCCAAACACGGAGGGGTCGAGCAAAGGAGGTAGTACATGGAAGATATGTTTCAAGTGCCAAGTGATTTGACCTTTTACTGCATATTGTCCAAATAAATAGATTGTGACATTTGCAGAGGCTCCAATTTTTTATGAAGATCCAATCTATGACAATGTAGATGAACAAGAAGAAGCAGAATCTGGAGAGGTAGAGATTGTCTATGCTGATACTGGAGAATCACTAGTCATTCGGAGGGTCTTGAATGAGGATACAGTGAATGATGAAATGTGGCTTCAGCATACCATTTTTCACACCAAATGCACTAGCGAGGGAAAAATATGTAGCGTGATTACAGATAGTGGGAGTTGTGAAAATGTGGTTTCTACCACTATGGTAGAAAAATTGAGGCTAAAAACAGAAGAACACCCACAACCTTATAAGTTGTCTTGGCTAAAAAAAGGGAATGAGGTGAAGGTAACCAAAAGATGCCTCGTGTGTTTTTCAATTTGGAAAAAATATTCAGATGAAATATAGTGCACTGTCGTTCCTATGGATGCTTGTAACATTTTATTAGGCAGGCCGTGGCAATTTGATAGGAAGACAAAACATGATGGTTTCAAAAATACTTACACTTTCGAGAAGGATGGTCACCTTAATACACTAGCACCTTTAGCTTGGAGGAAGGAAGCGAAGAATTCTGTGTTGTCCAAGGCAGAAATTTTAGAATTCATGGGTAAAATTGAGATATTTAGTGCAACTGAGATATTTGCACTGGTGATGATAGAAGGAATTGATAATTGACCACATATTCCCGTGGAAATTGAATCTTTACTGACAAAATTCACTGATGTAATGCCGGAAGAGTTACCGCCTAGATTGCCACCTGAAGAAGTTGACATCAATAAAGATGACACAAATTCGAGGGCGAATCTTTTCTTAGCAGGAGAGGATGATGCACTTGAGTGACCATAAGTTATTATAATTGCAGATGATTCAATTTTAAGGCCCTTTATGAATTTTAATAATTGCAAACGTTTCGGTTTGCATGATTTTATGTTTGGTTTATGGTTATTTCCATTTTGTATCAGTTTTTAAGACCATTGATGGTCATTCAGTGTTGGTTACTTTCTGTATTGCCTGCTTAAAAGGCTTGTTAGAAGAATGTGAGAGGGCACTTTTTTGATTGTTGAAGAATAATATAACAGAAAACTTCTGCATTTCTTGAAAGTACTTTCTTTTTAAATTGTTTTAATTTGAAGAATTGCTGTCTTGCTAGTTGCTTTGAAGACCACAAAGTGAGCGTTGAGAAAGATGAAAGAGTGAAGTATGGAACAGAAAGATGGTGACTTAGAATCTTGTTATTTTGTAAACATTGAATCTTGGATGTTATTGATAGCAAACTGCCTTATTTTAGTTTTTTTATTGTCTATTACTCTATTTCAACACTTCATGAGTTTTAGGACTTTTTTTAGTTTGAAGACTTGAATTTTTCAATGGTTTGTAACTTTCTATGACTTTATTTTGATATAGCTGGTGATTTGTATGACTAATAGGCTTTTCGAAAAATCAAAAATCGATCCAATCCCAACTGAATAAAATTGGATCGGATTGGAAAAAAAGAATTCAAGCTGAATGGATGATTAAATAATCAAACCAAAAGGATTGGATATGATGATTTTTGTTTCAAAACTTATCAAATCCAGACTACAAACACCCCTACCTTATCCCTTTAACTTCTAATATTTAGCAAGTAATTAAGAAAGGAGGGTCTATGGGTCCAATAAATGTTCTTAAAAGAAAGTAGTTATTCACTTGCTTAATTGGAGTGGAACAATTTTTTATTAATTTATGAAAAAGAGAGAAAATTTAGATGGTAAGCGGAGATTGTGTTTAAGTCAAAAGGGGGCAACCCCTAACTATTGTACTGCCATTTGTTGACCCAATCCTTTATCCCTTATCATATCAATCACAAAATATTGATCTCATGACCAAAGTAATTAACATAACAAACAAACAATGCTTTTCATTTTCAACACAACCTTAGTAGCCATGGCTGGGGCAAACATGCCCATTATTCAGTGATTCTCAAGACACCAAGTCTCGTTCTATCACTCTGGTAGAAAATTTTATTCTTTTTGTTCTTGTTTCTTTCTGAGAAAAATGGCAACCCAGAATAAGAACTCCAATTCACCTGAGAATAATCCGTTTTATCTTGACCCCAATGAAAGCCCAGTTTTGGTTCCTATATCACCTCCATTAAATGGAAGGAATTTTCATACTTGGCTGAGAGATATGAAGGATGCGCTACGTTCCGAAAACAAACTTGCTTTTGTTGATGGAACTATCACCGTGCCGGAACTCAATGATCCATCCTATGTAGCTTGGGAGAAATGCAACACAATGGTGGTGTCATGGTTGCAACACTCCATTTCTGATACAATCTTGCAATCTGTCTTGAGGATGGACAAAGCTGAAGATATCTTGAAAGACTTGCAAGAAAGGTTTTCCCATTTCAGAATTTTGGATCTTCATGATGACACATTGAAAGTGCAACAAGGTACGAAGGCAGTAGAAGAATACTTCAATGAATTGAAGTCTTTGTGGGACGAATTCGATAGTTTACAACCAATGCCCGAGTGTCAATGCCAACCAGCATGTTCCTGTGGAGGAGTACTTCTCAATCAGATCAAGAACAGGCAAGAAAGGGATCGCGTTATTAGATTTTTAAAGGGTCTTAATCAAGAACAATTTTCTCATGTATGTTCTCAGGTGATGATGATAGACCCTCTCCCGGGTATTCACGAAGTCCTCTCTCTAGTAAGTGAGCAAGAAAGGTGCCTCAATCATGATTATGTCAACGTAAACCAGAATGAGCCGCAAGCATTCGATCAACCTGAATCTTCAAACAAACAAAATGATTCTTCAGGGAGAGGACCAAGTAATTCCCTAGCAGAAGCTCGAGGGCGCATAGATTCCCTGAAAAGAATGATTGATGAGGGTACACCAGGAAATGATCAATATATATTTAATGAGACCATTACTCATGTAGTGGAACTTATGATGGATCCTTCGGGAAATTACCTTGTGCAAAAATTACTGTGTATCTGTAATGAAGAACAGAGGACGCAGATCATACGTAAGGTTACTGAGAAGCCATGGTAACTTTTCAATATCTCTTTGAACACTCATGGCTCTCGTGTGGTACAGAAGCTAATTGAGACTCTCGAAACTGGGCAGCAAATTTCATTAGTTGTATCTGCTCTTCGACTAGGACTCTTGGCTCTAATCAAAGATCTCAATGGAAATCATGTGGTTCAGGATTGTTTGAAGTACCTAAGAAATGAAGATATCAAGTTTATATTTGCTGTTGCTACAACGGATCGCGTTGAGATTGCTACTGATCAACACGGATGTCGTGTTCTGCAAAGATGCATTCGCCATTCGAGTGGGGAGCACAGAGAAAAACTGGTAGCCGAAATATGTGCTAATGCATATCTGCTAGCTCAAAAACAATTTGGAAATTTTGTTGTTCAATTTATCTTGGACTTAAGGATTGCATCTGTCCCCGCAATAAGTTGGCAATTTGACGGTAAATACGTGCACCTGTCAATGCAGAAGTTCAGTAGCCATGTGGTTCAAAAATGTCTTGAAGTATTCGATGATGAGAATCGGTCAACAATCATTTATGAACTGGTCTGTTCTGGCAGCTTTGAAAAGTTGCTTCGAGATCCACATGAAAATTATGTTGTTCAATTAGCTCTTCGACATTCTGAGGGCCCTATGCATGATTACCTAGTTCAAGAAATTCTGTACCGCAAAGGAATATTACGAAATTGTCGGTTTTCCAGGAATATTTTGTCACGGCTACTTTAGAAGAAATGATGTATTTTCTCCCCTTAGCAAGAAGTGTTGTTGTTCTATGTTAAAAATCATTTGAGGAGTTTGCCACTGCAACTATATGCATTGGATGGTTATTTCACTGTTACTTGGGATACACCACCCCAAAAGTTAGCTCAAAGAGTGGGAGTGCCCAAGACCTTATTAACTCCACATTGGTTGTACATAAAACCAATGTGGGACTATATATCTTAACACGCTCCTCACACGAGAGTCCATTGGGCTTATATCTCAACACGCCCCCTCACACGAGAGCCCATTGGGCTTGAAGAGTGGACAATGCAACAGGCCCAGCCTAACTGTGCTAAGAAACGCCACAAGAGAAAGTGGGGGGCGGCGAGGCTCTGATACCATGTAAAGAACCTTGGGATACACCACCCCAAAAGCTAGCTCAAAGGGTGGGAGTGCCCATTGGCAGACCGACGTTGACGTACATGTCCGCAAGTGCGGACATGAAAATTGGGATTTTAATTTTATTTTTTTTTGTGTTGCAGGTTCTTAATTATCTCTTTGTTCAATATTTATATTAGGAGTAAATACCATTTTAAGTACTTAACTACGATCCCCACTTTAGTCCTTATAAAAAAAAGTAGTCTTGAGGTTCTTAAGAAATTCAAAGTGGATCAATTTAGTTAAAATCGTGATCCCTCACAAATTCAAAAAAGACCCACATTAGTCTCTCAAAAGGACTAAAATATGTCCACTTTGAATTTCATATGGACCAGGCCACTAATTTTTTTTTTTTGTAAAGGACTAAAATGGGGACCGAATTTTTTGTTAGGGACCAAAAAAAGTATTTACTCTTATATTAGTTAGCAACGTAACAACCTATGTAGATGATTAAAATAGCGTAGCAACTCAAATTGATTAGAGAGAAAACTTATTCTTCCTCCCCTATCACATACTCATTCTCATGCTCTCTTCGTCCTTTGTTTCCTTTTTCATTTTTCTAAAAAGAGAGGATTGATTGCAGATCTGACATTCTCAAATAAGTTAATCTCTAGAGACGAGGTCATAACCTTGTACATAAAGCGTTAATCTAAATTGTTTTTACAAAAAAAAAAAAAATCGTGGGCGCTGCCCCCGAACCCCCACCACTAAAATGTGCGGACATAAAGAATTTTTTCTGGGTTCGCCACTGGGAGTACCCAAGACCTTATAAACTCCACATTAGTTGCACATACAGCTAATGTGGGACTATATATCTCAACAACATGTATAACTTGATGACTCTCACCAAAGGTCAGGCTTTTTATGACCATAACGTCACTTTAGCATCTCAATTGGCCTCATAAATATTGAAACATATTCCAGCAACATATATCAATATTATCTACTTATGCCTTCATTTTCCCAACATTTAGAATTTAAAATAATAGATCATACTCACCTTGTGTATGAGAACTAATTTCAATATTCATCAATATCACTCTCATGATTACTTTAATTCTATACATGTACTTCAGTCATGCAAATTTGTCAAATTGATACACAATAACAAAGGCATACATAAAGCAGTTTCAGGTTCTCCTCTTTAACTTTCGGGAAGGATAATATGATAATTTTGCATTCATCCACCATGGCTGTTCCAAGAAGAATATAGGCATACATAAAAGGTGCTGGTGATGTGAAATTGCTTCCTGGATGAGAGGCCGCCACTACTCTGTTTTCTTCTTCGCGGTGGTTGCTCTTTGCTTATTGTCTCTTCCTTTTCGGGTTCCTCTTCCTCTAAGGTCTCTTCTTCTTCACTCTCCTCCACTTCCCTTTTTTCCTTTCTTGGTGTTTTGGCTCCCTCTTCTTCATCTTCTTCCTTGCTCTTGACTTGATTCTCCTTACTGTGGCGAAATAAATTTCTTCAGCCTTTTTATCATCAACCTTAAAATGTTATTCTACCTCTCCTTTATGGTTAATATCACACGAGCCACACTTTTCTTTTACTTTAAATAAAGGGTTTTATAATTCTCATTTTACATGAGAATTGAAATCTCATGTTATAGAGATAAAAAACACGTGGGATCCATATGTTAGAAAAAATCATATGTGAGACTCATATCAGCACAAAAATCGAAGGGTGTGTAACAAAATTTCAACTCTCATGTTACATGAGAATTATAAAACCCTTAAATAAAATAAGGTGAAGGATATATTTACTATCAAAAAATTTTATCACTCTTACAATTAATTTAATCACCGTTGATTTCCGTCACTATAACGGTTATAACTTATTGAGAATTAATAATTTATTAATAAATGTGACCCGATAAATATTATTAGAGTAAATATCATTTTTTGTCCCTAACAAAAAACACGGTCTCCACTTTAGTCCATTGGTCCCTAACTTATTTCTTCTTCCCCTGTCACATACCCATTGATTAGAGAGTATTTACTCAGGAGAAATGTTTTATGTCCGCACATTTAGTGCCCCCTAATTTTTTTTTTGTAAAGACAGTTTAGATTAATGTTTTATATACAAGGTTATGAACTCGCTCATAATCTAGTTGCTTCCATAACAAGTTGCAGACAATAGTTTGACCAAACATTTCCCCCCCTAAATCTTACCAATCCTCCAAAACAAATATAATGGTGAATAAAAAAGTCAACACTACCTGTACAGAAGGCAAGCGAAATCACAGTGAAGACCTCGTCTCTAGAGATTAACTTATTTGAGAATGTCAGACCTGCAATCAATCCTCTCTTTTTAGAAAAATGAAAAAGGAAACAAAGGATGAAGAGAGCATGGGAATGGGTATGTGACAGGGGAAGAAGAATAAGTTTTCTCTCTAATCAATTTGCGTTGCTACGTTGTTTTAATCATCTCTGTACGTTGCTACATTGCTAACTAATATAAGAGTAAATACTCTTTTTGGTCCCTAAAAAAAAAATTCGGTTCCCACTTTAGTCCCTTACAAAAAAAAAATTAGTGACCTGGTCCTTATGAAATTCAAAGTGGACACATTTTAGTCTTTTTGAGCAACTAATGTGAGTCTTTTTTGAATTTGTGAGGGATTACGATTTTAACTAAATTGATCCACTTTGAATTTCTTAGGAACCTCAAGATTAATATTTTTTATAAGGGACTAAAGTGGGGACCGTATTTTTGTTAAGGACTTAAAAGAGTATTTACTTCTAATATAAATATTGAACCAAGATACAAATAAGAACCTGCAACAAAGAAAAAATAAATAAATTAAAATCACAATGTTTATGTCCGCACTTGCGGACATGTGCCCCAACCTGGATCCGCCTCTGCACACAACCATTCTCCCTAAAGTTTAAACCTTTAAGATGACGTACATGAATGATTCTGTTAAATCTCTTAACATCGCTCTCGTACGAAACTTTTTTTTCTTCAAAAAACATAGATAATGCACATTTTTAATTTTATTTATTTATATTATGTATAGCTGTCAAAATGGGCTTAGCCTGTAGGTCAGCCCTCAAAAACGTTTGGTGTTAACCCATAAAAGTCTACTCTTAATAGGATTTTTTCTAGCTCTAACATCCAAAGTCCTATAGTGGGCTGCTATGATGCACGGACACGGACACGGGACACGAGACACGACACGACACGACACGCCGACACGTTAATTCTAAAAAATGTCATATTTGGACACGTTGGGACACGTTTTGATATTAAATAAAATTTTTAATATATATAATATGATTTATATTTAATACATATAAGAGTCCATAATAAGTCATATAACCAATTAAATATTTAAATTTCATAACATAAATATAAATATAAATAATTTTTCGTAGTTTGTTAATTTTTAATGTCAAATTTTATAATAGAAAAAAATTAATTTATGAATTATTTCTTTTATATTTAGTTAAAAAAAAAATTAAGATTTAAAAAAATAAATAAATAAATAAATATAATAAAAAAACGTGTCCGAGCGTGTCCCCAAATGTTGACCGCGTGTCGGAACGTGTCGGAGAGTTGACCACGTGTCCTCAAATGTTGACCGCGTGTCCGAGCGTGTCGGAGCATGTTCGTGTCGGACACATGTCCGACACGTAAATTTCACAAAAAAAAGCGTGTCCGTGTATGGGAGGTGGGCTAGGTGGGAGCTTATTCATGGGCAAAAATTTATCCTTTGTCTAAATGTCTATAATTCATAAAAGAATAAAAAAAATACAAATTTGGATCTTTATAAATATAAAATAAATTATAAAAAATACCCTTTATATATAATTATATAGAATATATATAATAAATATATTTTAACAATCCAACGAGATTATTTTTATTTTTATTGTTTTTTAACTGTTTTAAGTGAAAAATATTTCATTTCCTATTTATAATTATATATATATATATAAATCAAATACTTAAAAATGCACCTATATCGAAATATAAATAATTTAAAGAGATAAACTTGTACTAAAATATGAATTGACATTCTTGGAGTCATCTAAATTTGAATCCATTGGTCTAAAATGTTAACAATATATTATTTGCCTAATAATTAATATTTAACAATGTGCATAGGGTTAAGTCCCAGGGGAAATGGTGTAACATTCCCGTCTCGAGCCGATTCAATTAACATAATATGATCCTTAACAGAAATAACGGAAGACTTAACTTACGAAAATGCGAGCTAACTTTTTCTTTTTCTTTTATCCCTTTCACATGATAATTACCATTGCATACATCCACTAGTTTACTTATCATTTGACGGAGATGAAAATCGGACAAAGTATTGTCTGTAAATTGGACAAACAGGGATTTGAGAATCCCACTCTCAAGATATCCTGATAGACAGTGTACATCATATATGCTTTCAGAAATATCATGTATTCATATAGGACCATATACCCATCCATGTGCGCATGCATACCTTGGCTCTGTGCCACTATGTCTAACAACATGCATATCCAACATGTAATCGTATAACTGAATACTACATCGTAATATAAACATGTCTGAATACACAATTGTACATGCATCAAAGCAGAAAACATGTACAAAA